TTATCTCGAAGAACTTAAAGAGGTGACACTTTTAAGATGTGACGTTCAATCTGAAGATGCATCAGTGACCTGTAGCATTCCATAATCGTTTTTGCGAAAACTAAACTAACACGGAATTCACAGAAATGTCGCAAAGTTAAGGTACTTGAGAAGAACTACAGATGGCAGCAGGTGTAAAGGTCTTTAGGAGAAACTTTCTTCTCTTGTCTAAACGAACAGCCAATTAGTTTAAACGAGACCGAAAGAGAAGACCAAGGACACGCTATACAATCCCGACACGTCATGCCAAATTTCGCCCAGATGAGCGTATAAATGCCACAAGAATCGACGCCTAGCGTCGCAACATATACCGTTCAAAGCCGACTGTAATTGAAAATAAAGCCAAGAGGTTTCGGGTTGTCGACTGCGAACGGCAAATGAAAAGAATAGAATTCTTCGGAGACAATACGAATCACGTTAAGAATCCAACGTCGAGGTCACTAATCCGATTGTCAAGGCGTCGCCAAGGACGTCGTATTTGGCACAGAGGAGCTTTGAGATTCAACTTAGAAAGCCGACGTCGACCGGCGCTGAGTCCTTCGTTTTGACTCCCTGCAATACGTCATTTTTTGGCTCAGAAACTCGTAAATCAAACGAGGCGTCGAGACGGCGACAATACTGTATATAAGCAAGCACCATGTGGCAACTGAAAACGAAATTGAAAAAACAAACCTGAACGGCGAAGGCTACCTTAAAAGAACCCAAGTGAAAATAAACAGGATTTAGGTTGCCATTAGAGTTGAAACACTACGTCTGACTCCACAACCGTGACAAAAGACGTCTTACTGAGCATTCGCAAGAGTCAGGTTGTGTTCGAGCACATAGTTCGAAAAGCGACGTTTAGCGTCGCGTCGCCAAAAGTCGCGAATGAGCCATATGACGTCACATTAAGCACCAGAAGGCACTATGTTGCTTTCTGAGGCTAGTTTAAAAGTCGACGCCGGGCGTCGGGACGCCAGACATCGCGACGTTGGCCACGGACGCCCTAGTGACCGATGGTAATTATCCCGACGCTGAACAGGGGTGTCATTGTAAGCATTGTCAAACCTTAGGTTTCATTTAGACACGAATTTTGAGGACGACGCCTGGCGTCGCGACGCCCAACGTCACCACAGATTTCAGGGACGCCCCATTAGACACAGGAAATAATTGTGTTGCCGTATGAGGCAATTTTAAAAAACGACGCCAGGCGTTGGGACGCCTAACATCGCGACGCCGACCAAGGACGCCATAGTATGCATTGCCAAACCTTAGATTTCATTTAGATAGGAATTTTGAAAACGAAGTCTGGCGTCGCGACGCCTAACGTCACCAGGGATTTCAGGGATGCCCCATTAGACAGAGTAAAGAATTGTGTTGCTGTATGAGGCAATTTTAAAAACGACGCCAGGCGTCGGGACGCCTAACATCGCGACGCTGACCAGGGACGCCGTAGTATGCAATGTCAAACTTCAGATTTCGTTCAGACACGAAGTTGCAAAAAGCGACGACGAGCTTCGGGACGCTAAACGTCGCGACATAGTAAAAGGACGCAATATTGAACTGAGGAGAGCATCGGGTTGATTTCGATCTCACCCTTTAAAAAGGGACGCTTGGCGTCGGGAAGATTAACATTGCTAAGCTGTTGCATTCAAATAGTTGGAAAACCGAAGAGAGGAGTCGCAACGGAATCAAATGGCGCCATATTATTCGCTGCTATCATTAATTTGCCCAAACGCAAAGTTGAAGAACGACGCCTGAGAGCGATGACGAATAAAGACGCCATATTGAACACAGGCTAGCATGATGTTGCCTTAAACAGTCTGTAAACCGACGTTTGGCGTGCGACCACACCTACAACTACACACACCGACCGACGAAATCATGACGCCTAGCGGTGAGAAGTGCAAAATGGATAACGATGCTAACCTAAACCAAGGTAACCTAACCTAACCCAACCCAACAACCTAACCTAACCCAAA